CAAAATTGTGTGCTGTGTGTAAGTCTATATATACACAAACAAGTAAAGTATATAAGTACAATAACTCATCATTAAAAAGATTGTGTGCGGTGTAGAAGCATATATACACAAAAATAGTATGTATATAAGTACAATATCTCATCATAGCATATCATATCAATATAGAAACAAGGAAGCGAGGAAATGGCAACAGCTACATTGAGTGCAACAGCCACGTCAAATCAATCGACCACGAAGTTGCTTCTGTATCCTCTCTTGTGGGAAGGAAAATGCTTCAAAGTGAAAATGAAAAGAAAGGAATGTGCGGAAACACACATACAGCAACTACCGAAGGGCCGACTTTCTTCGTTGCACTGTGAGGGCTTGAAATAGCTCATCCTGTGATCTGTAAGGCCCCGCCCGTTCCATCCTTGTGTTCCAAGGTTCAGAAATAGAGAAGTCAAATTTCAAGTCAAAGGAAAAAAGTCAATTTCAGAGATAATGGATGGACAAACTGTCTGTTAAATTGAATCTTTGCAGCATGCAGCTGTGACGACCTTGCTAATCACACATACACACACACACTCGCCGTCAACTTTTATAGCCCCAGTACTTTACATCCATCATGTTCTATTGTAATGGGAACTATTTAAAAATTAATCAAAGGCCTCTAGTCAAGTCCGCTCGTCCCACCAATGTTGTTTCAAGTTGGCACTGATGATGCCAACGTTGAGTCGGTTCGGGGTGCTGATCGTCTGTTTTGTAAATTTGTGCCTGGGCTCATTGTGAAGGGCATGGGATATACAGTTTTACACCGCTGGCACCTGTGTAATCTGTGTCTATCAAGTTGACAAGACATTTCACAAAATTCAACTACAAAAATATCCGAAATACAAGTTAAATCAATATAATATATGGAGAGATTCAGATCATGTCATCAGGATTGATGTAGCTATGTGCAAAGATTGGACTCCCTGCTCTGGACATCTTGGAGGCTCTGTTTTGAGGACTGCAGCTACTGGACCTCAACCCGCAAAGCAAGAAGAGAAGGCGAGACACATTCCGATTCCACAAACCCTGAATTAGGGGACCCAAAACTTGGAACCAAAGCCGTGAGCTTTGACTTCGGGTCGTATGTCACAAATGTAAGCCGTGAGTTGTGGCTTCGGATATGTCCTGATCTGTGCATCATCGGTGCATCATGCGGTTAGCAAAAATGATAAACATTGTGCCTCAATGGTAGTCTTAATACTGCTTCAAGTCATACTCTTCCACTGCTAGGATGGAAGCATGAGCAGCAAATGATAACTTTTCCATCTGAGAGTTTGCCGTCAATCCTGAGTCTTGTGAGTCGAAGGTGGCCAGCTCACAATATGCACCCTGCACATCTCTCGACATGATTCACCATACATTGCTACCCTCAGAACAGAACTTTTGCATTGATCACCTTGATTCATTTTGAAGCTCTTGGCTCGCATTGTCGCGGCCAAGTTGCCCTGCCAGTCGATGCCTTCGAGCAATCGACGGAAAATCTCCAGCTGGAGAGACTTGTCGTTTTGCAGGTGTATCTCCTGAGGCGTTGCACAAAAGATGCAACTATGTATGAGTCAGGATTGTGAGCTTGCAAAAAAGGTGGGAGCAGTTTGAGTCTTGTAGAATGAGATGGGATCAAACTGAGTTGGCGTGACAAAAAGGTCCGGTGGGTGATGAAACTGTTTGCGTAATCTAACCAATATATATATCTAACATGTATATATAGTTGTGTTGCTATTAAGTATTTTAATATTTAATGGGTGACGTCGGGACCAACCATTCTATATACAAATCCGGCCGGGGACCGAACCTCTGTCACTACAATTGCACCGTTCTGTCCTGATTCTTGTGGTTAGTTATGTTCCTGGGGAACCACTATGCATAATTGAAAGGAACAATTGGAGAAAGTAGGGGTTGTAGCCTGCCAATTTGTAGTCACTGGAGTTGGGGCCCAAAAACTCGAAAAGTGACGTTGCGTCGCGATTCATTTTGGCGTGTTTCTTTAACTATGTTGTGCTTTTTGACACAATTCTGAGGACTCTGTGGGAGAGCAAGCAAAAATTACTGTAAATCCTTTTGTAGTAAGGGCCAGCAGTGCCCAATCCTTGCAAAATCCTTTACAAAATGGAGGGCCCCTTGGCGTCCAAATGTCGACACTCAAAAATCCTCTTACAGAATGCAGTCACTCTTATGCATCAACAAAACGCATAAGTTATGAATCCTAAGGACCACCAATTGGTAATGGAACTGTAATCAGGGATACAGTTTATATAAATGTAGAGGCATACGGCATAGAATACAAAGCCTTACAAAATGCAAGGCATCAACGTTGACACATCTTGACTTGCTCCACCACGAATTCTATGTAAAGTTAGGGGCCTCAACGTCATTTCCGCTTGGTTCCTACCAAAAAAATGGCCGTCATTGTCTCACAACAAAAAAACTGTTATATGGGCCTTGAGGTCACCCATTCTATATAGGAAATATTGACGTCAATATAATACAACTGTATATTGAAACAAAAAAAAATGTGAAAGTAAAGGAACAGCTAGCAACTAGTAACTAGCAAAACATAGGGCGGCAAATATTTTTTTTATGTTCAATGCTCCGATGACCCACTCGTCGATCCGATGAGCCATGTGTTGCAACCGATGGTCTGCCGAGCCGAGGATCCAACCACGCGGCACAGTCGATCCGATGATCGACCCGACGATCCGTCGATACGAGTTATATCATGTTATATCATGTTATATCCGATGTTCCGCTGCAAGTCCACCTTCGAGGAGGGGGATTGATAAATCTATTCTGGGGGGAGACCCAGACGACCCAACCCTTGCTTCGCAAGACGAGCTCAAGGTATCGCCTGAGGGCTACCTTTATGTGATTGCCTTGCCCCATGCTTGATTCAAGGAACTGGGCTTGCCGTTGTGGAGTCAAAAATCTCCTCACTCTCACATTCGATGCCTCCAGCGTGCGCCAGCGACAAGACCCCAAACCTTTCCGTTGGTACGTGGAACATCCGCCTCCCGAGCGTATGGACCAAATCGGGTTGACCCCCCTCATGTCATGGAGGTAATGGGCAGGGTGATGGAGTTTGTCTGGATGATGCCTGACATAGCAAGTAATAAAACATGCACTGGGCTCTCTGCGTGTGCAGAGCTTCTATATCTGATGTTTTCATGGGCAAGCTACTACAAAGAGGCATTCGGAATTAAATGTGAGATTCTATCATGGCAATCAAGAGGACACCACATAGTGCGAAGAAGACACTTGACCGTCTGGTCCAAAAGCTGGGATCGGGGAAGTCCGGCATGTCCTGGCAAGAGATACCTTTGCACATCAGTTTCTCCCTATGCAATTTAAAGCAACTGTAGACTGAAAAACCAGCTGCTGATTTCAGCTAGCGTGATTTGACAGATTTAGCTGACTGTGCAGTCGGTAAACCAGAACGATATAAGTATAAGACACAAAAATGGCCCTACGTAATAGCCAAATTTTGATGCAACTAGCACTGTGCATGAGAAGCCTTTTTAGAGCATTCGCCGCTACACAAAGTATATAATCAATGAATGAGTCTTACCAAACCTGTGTGTACAACATCTGACTGGCCAATCGCTTCTTCTCACATCCCAAGGAATGGCGGGACATTGCGGGCATGCACTCAAAAACAGAACAAATTGACACCCGACCCAAATTTCCTTGAAGCTGGTTATGCAATTTCTATTACTTCGGCATCTGGCATCTGGCATCCAATGAAGACTGGCAAAACCGAGCTGTATTCAGCAATGTCATGGCCCGCTCTTTCGGCAGTCCTTCTCCACGAGATCGCGTGTAGTCTCCCAGGAAGAATGATCATCCGCCGAATACGTTGTTGGTAGACCTCTGGAGGATGAGCAGCAAAACCCTGGTACAGGTACAAAGGTAGGAGGTAGCACCCCAAACTGGTTGGGACAAACAAAAAACATTTCAACACGATCTAAAGGCATGACAGCACAGAACCATCCCAAATTCAGCAGAAGTCGAGATCAGAGCGGCTCATGGTAGAAACACCGGAGGATGGTCTGGTCCAAACGCTCGAATCTGGAGGGATCAAACAGTCCTGCGCAAAAGGCTGGACATGGGATGGCCGGGCCAAACATTGTGTTGCGAATATGTTATCACTGTCTTGAGGTCATGTTGATTGGACTGCCCATATCTGATGACATTATAACATCCATGTGGATCCTCCATACCTGGCAGGACTTGGGTAATATTCCATCTGATCTGATTCGGTCTAATTTCAAGGCCATGCCAAAAAAAAACCGTACTCTGAAATGTCCAGCAGTCCTGAGCTGTGCCGCTCTCAGAAGCATGCTCCATCAAAGCACCTTGCACCAAACTCCACGGCGATGATCACTCGTCAAGGAAACCGCTTGAGAAACCTTTACTGCTGGTCAAAGTGACCGAGCGTCAGCCTAGCTCTGAAAAGCAAAGAAGTCTAAAGCCACCAGATGCTCTCTAAGAGTAAAGACCGCCTAATGCGGGACAACCATCTTCGTGACCTCCAGACCTGCCATTTCAACTTGTTCCAGCCCAGTCGACCACAGTCGGGTCCCCTCAATATCCTGGTTCTGCTTGTGCTCAAGAGCACTCGGACTTAACACTGTGAGATGTCTTGAAGACACTCTTTTTCTATCAATGTCTGAACTCTCTGATTTGCTCAATGGACACTCTTTCTTAAGAGCTGTTGGCAGCTTCAAGCTTTGATGGGCCAACACACGCTTGTGCATCCCCTTCCTCCTGTCCTCCTGGCCTGATATGGCAAACTGGCCCGTCTCAGGAGCTAAAACAGCTGCGCGCAGCGTGTTTCTTCGTTCAAACGGTGTGACCCAAACATCATCAAACATCTCATGAGTGTGAGATCTTGTGGGGGAAGACTGGAAGACTGTTCAAAAGAATTCTCTACATGCTTTGCACTGCATGCTGGGTGGAGGCAGCAAGGCTCCAGCGGAGACTCCTTGTCGCCAGAGACCTTAGCGCGTTTGGAGGTTACACTTGCTCTGGGTGGCTGGGCACGCCATCTCCAATGGCTAGTATGCTTGTGACCAACATCTTGCTCTTGGATCCCAAGCCACAGTCAGGGCACTCGCACAGCTTACTCTAACTCTAACACGTATCCAAACAATTCACTTTCAGATCCGCACAATTCCACACAATTCCTGTGCGATCCCCTCCAGCTTCACATAGCTTGGCCGAGGTGCTGGTGGGCTCCAAGTTGCGGCACAGCCACGTGAGGAATGAGCGGCCTGTGAGAAATCAGTTGTTTTTTTGAGACAGGAAGTGTAGAAAAAACATAGGGCAAAAGGAACTGCAGAACAAAGACATGGAAGAGCCAAATGAAGGTGGCTGGACAAGGGTGAGTCTTTCGAAAGCTCATCGATGCCGTTCCAGCTTAACCAACCGATCTGGTGATGTCAACAAAAATGAGAATGCCAAAGCATTGACCAGTGTTCACCCAGGCTGCCCTCCACGAAACGAAGGTGCAAGTCTGGCTTGTCGACCCTTTATCTTCATGTCTCGCGGTCTTTGGCCAAGAGTTCAAATAGGCATGGTCTTCACCTGGCAGCGAGGCTGCCAAACTTTTGGGTGATGCCTTGGCTGCCAATGGCACGGCCTGCAAGCTGTGAGTCCCAGAATAAGCTAGACAGCTAGGCCACAATGTGGCGCCCATTGAGGCTGTTTGCTCACCTTCCAGTGACTAAGGGCACGCACAGTCATGGCTGTGGGTAAACATGGGACACTCACAGCTTCTCCACACCATGCATCATAGGACTTAAGTGACTTTAAGGCGACCTGCAACACCTGCGAACGCTACGGTAAGTCTAGAGTGTAGATGGTTTTAGGTAGGTGCGTGATGAGGAACTAAGTACAAGAGCCCAGGAAATTGCAAGCACAAACTGGTCCGGTCTAACAGATCCAGCGGCTGCTAATCGCCGCAAAGGAGACTCTAGGCTCTCTGTTGAGGGAATGCAGGACAAATCCTCATCCCGCAAAGCCTAGAATATCAACTCACGGTGGAGGAAAGATTGATGTCCACATACCTCTGTCTGTGCATCTCTTGAATCTCTCGAAACAAGACAAAAAACTGGCCGTTCTTTCCTCCACTTTTGCACAAAAGCTCATGGCTTTGAAAATCCAGGTCACCTTGGTCAATGCCACGTAAGTTCCAGTGGTGAGAAGAAATGGTGGTTGAATTGTCGCGTTCTTTTTGCTCACTCGTCACTAGTAGTCTTACCCGTTGACGTCCATCAGTCACAATCCTTAATTTAAATAATCTTATGTAATTGTATTATAGTTGACATCCTAGCCATTGTTTCTATAGCGGCGCCGACACCCTTGCATCATCTGTCATCATACATCCTTGATCCTTCTGAACGAACAACTGAACTCATTTTTTTTGTATATTATGCAATTTTACTAGCCGAGGGTATGGGTTGGTTCTGACAGCCAAGTCAAGGATCGTGCAACGTCCAACATCGCTGCCTCTTTAGCACCTAACACACCTACAGCCCCAACAGCACCTACACAGTCTGCGAGAGCTTCGCCCGGACGGCCAGCGACTCAATAGACATTAGACAACAAAATGCCTGGAAGTGAACCCAAATATCAATATATATAATATATACCTGGGCCGAACTCATCCAAGAAGCTCATCCGACCACTTCAGCATCCTGGGTGTCAGGTGCTGATCCTGGAAGGCGGTCTCAGCTGCGCCCGACCCAAACAGGGGAGACTTATATTGGTCATTGGTCCACCAACACTCAAGGTCTGCAAGAATCTCTTCGGTGTGTTTAGGCAATGCCTCAAAACTGAGCGTAATTGGTGAGTCGAGAGGTGTGGCAAAAAGAGTTACGATCTGTGGGTTCAACCGCCCAGTGCGAACGAACTGGGAACCAGCGGAAAGGACCCAGGTTGTCTCATTTCATCAATGCCAGTGACAGTGGTTCATCCTTTCTATGTCAGCTTGGCGCGTGAACCTTACATTTGTTGAAGAATGCCAGATATATGATTCTGTGTGGATTAATAATACTATCTAATCCATACGGGATATGAGAATGGCACGAACAATTATCACGGTATGTCTGTGCCTCTCTTGCTATCATGCACCATTATTCCTTCATCCCCCACTCGTTACCCGTGGCCTCCTGCATCCGCCTGGAACTCCATCAGCTTTGTGACTCGCTTGGCGAAGTCACCTGGCACCAGTGACTACTTTGGCTGATCACAAAGGTCATCTAATGACACGGGGGTAGCTTTAGAAAGGTTGCGAATATATTTCTGGATTTTTTTTCGTTTTTTATTGAACTTTTTTTGTTTTTCGTGTTTCGTGGCAGGTGCAGTACTTTGTGGACCTTGCAAAGCACATTTCGTGGCAGGTGCAGGACTTTGTGGGCCTTGGAGTGCAGAGTTTGTGGCAGGTGCAGGACTTTTTGTGGGCCTTGAAGTGCAGATTTTGTGGCAGGTGTAGTACTTTGTGGCCCTTGGAGTGCAGATTTTGTGGCAGGCGCAGGACTTTGTGGACCTTGAAGTGCAGATTTCGTGGCAGATGCAGGACTTTGTGGGTGTGGAAGTGTAGAGTTGGTGGCAGGTGCAGGACTTTGTGGGCCTTGGAGTGCAGATTTCGTGGCAGGCGAAAGACTTTGTGGACCTTGAAGTGCAGATTTCGTGGCAGGTGCAGTACTTTGTGGATGTTGAACTGCAGAAAGATAGAAAGATAGAAAGATAAATTGATAGATAGATTAGATTAGATTAGATTAGATTAGATAGATAGATAGATAGATAAGGCACGTTTGCTTGGTTAGAAAGTTTTGCACCGGGGAGTTCACCTTAAAATATTGATTTCGTGGCAGGCGCGGGTGTCGGGGATGAAGTGCAGATTTCGTGGCGCGGGGGGGTTTGGGGGGGGGGCGCAG